GTGGGGGGCGGGGCAGTGGCGTGGGCGGGCAATCAAAAGGGCCCAATATTGTTGTCATCAGCAGTCTCCGATGTCCTCTGCCCAGAGCAGGGATCTCATAGGTGTGAGCTCCAGACAGCTGGGGCTCAGACCAGCATTCCCAACTTGCCTGAGCAGGTCCAGATGACCCTAATCATTCCCCCAGCTTCTATATATCTTCTCTCATCAGGAAAGCCAACCGATGGCCACTGCCTCAGGTTTACCACCAGTAGAATGGTCTTCTTGGGCCTTCCTGGTTCAGCTCAAGTCCATTGAGCACTAAAGGTGATACCCTGTCCCCACCTCCACCCAGACTCATACGGACAAGTAGGAGATAAGCTTTTTATGAAGCTCCAGCTCTTCATAGAGGGTGGAAACAGAATAATTATGCCAGTTCATCCATGTATGAAGATGCCCAAGGCTGAAGCAGCCAGCCGTGGGTAAGGGTAGAGGGTATCTTTATTGCACTATACCAATATCAGGTTAGGGAGGTGCCACCTGAAAATGCCACTGTTTTCAAAGAAAATACTGAGGTCACTAGGAACTTGGTCCTGCTATTCAGACCTACCAAGAGAGATGGGAACTCTGGGCACCCCTTGGCCCATGCTCCAGGCTTATGACCCAGACGAGAGCCTCTTAACATCTGTCAGGCAGGAACAGCAAATTGTCCAATAGCATCTGGTTCATGCTCTGTACCCATAATCATCTTGGGGCCAGGCCCATGATGGGGGCAGGGTGACCAGAGTAGAGACAGTGGTCACCAGCCTTCCAGGGGACTCTCTTTACCACCTCCCAAGGTTACAAAGGGCTTCTTGCACAGCTCCCCAGGTATTGCTGGCTCCTGAGCTCTGGGGCCCCCAGGGTCTTGGTCGGGTGCCTCCCTCTTACGCTTGTGCAAAGAAGGGCTCTCCTCACCCAGCCGACCCTCAGGGAGGCCCTGGCTCCGCAGACAGACGATGGCTGCAGCCTGCTCCGCCAGTTTCTTGGACTTGTCCCTGGGCAGATGAGGCATGGGGCAATAAGGCAGGTAGGCAGGCACACTGGTGGTAGGACTAGAGGCTGGGAGGCCTGACTCTCAATACTCTTGTCACAGATTCCGACAAAACTGAGGAACAGGTCATCACCCAGGGATGCTACTACCCAGGTATACCATCCTCCCTCCCTCCCAGGTCAATGCTACGATCAAGCCCTCCACCCCAAGCCTCATGCCCACTGGTGAGGAAACTCACCACAAGGTGGACTGGTACTTCTGCTCAGCAACAGTGACAACAGAGCAGAAGAGGCGATCCAGGGGGCGTTGAACCTGGTGCAGAGAGAACAGAGGAAACAGGGATAGCTGCATGAGGGCAAGAGGAACCAGCCCTGGAGGCCCACCTGCTGGGGTCATGTCGAAGGCAGAGAAAAAAAAGGAAGTCCTTCCCACCTAAGTCAAATGAAAGCTACGTGTTCAACATGCTCCTCCCCAGCAAAAGTGTCTGATGCATCTTCCAGGGAAGAAAGGTGGAAGAAAGGTGGACACACAAACAGACAATGACACTACAGTGTGTTGGAGTTCTGTCATGAACCTAAGCAAAGGGCCATCAGAGCCCTTAGCTGTGCGTGACTATAGAGTCTCCTCCGACTGACATCTGGATGGACCAGGTCCCCAAAATAAGTAGTTCACCAGATGGCAAAGGGGTAAAAGGGGACAAGGACTGGGGCAAAAAAGATCCATCTGGCAGAGAGACCAGGTGATATGGCAGGACAGAAAGCTGAGTGGGTAAGACCTGAAGCAGAAAGGCATGTGTGTGTGGGGGGG